TAAATAAATAAATAAATAAATAAAGCAAGCAAGCAAGCAAGCAAGCAAGCAAACTAAATTACCCCTCCCCCCATAAAAAGAAGTTTAAGAAAATAAATAAAAGAGGAGAACGCATTTCAACAGGTGCGGAGGTAGCTCACCCCTTTCCAGTCCAGGGCTGAGCCTGAGGCCGGAGGTAGGACTCTGTTGGGCCCTCAGCCCCTCAGCCAGGCTCAGCTCCTGGCTGCCTCTTCAAAGTGTAGGTATTTCTCCAAGCTTGAGGGCAGTCTGAGATATTTTTTAAATAACGTTTGCTATTTGTACTGAGTGTAGAACTTAACCTTTGTGAAGAAGCATGATATAGCCTTCGTAGAAAAGTAAAATCTATCTCAAACTTTGAAGCAAAGCTGCAGCAACAGTGATGGCTCTACTTACACTTTCATTGTTCCCTCTTTTCAGTTTCAGGAAGAGATTATTAGCCATGGTTTCCCGTTAACCTGCAAACACCCAGAGGCTGCACATGGAAAGCTAGTTACTGGCCTGGGGAGGCAGGGAGGACAGTGGAGTGACTAAGACTTCAGACAGACCAGTCTGAATGCAGTTTCTGCCACAACTAGCTGGATGGCTTCAGGCAAGTCACTGAACCTTTCTGAGCCTTGAATTTCTCATGTATAAAATGGGATGATACCACCCACACAGCAGGGTTGTAAGAGTGAAAAAAGAAAGTGACATTGGTAATATAAGGCCAGTGCAGCCCAGTTAAAGGACTCCAGCTGTTTGCAGTCAGGTGCTAGAAAATGTGAAAGCAGAGTTTTGCTTCCAAGTTTCTGTTAAGAGGGCTGGAGAAATCTGAAGTTATAGAGCATTTTTTTTTAAGATCAAAGGACTGAAGGAGTGGAGGAAAATTTCTTCTTCCAGGCCCCCTATTCCCTGAGCTCCCTGCCCCTGGCCCCCAGTGCAGACCAGGCTCCTGGGGGCAATTATTTGCTCCTGGCCTCTGGTGCTGGCCCTGGCCCACACCCCCATGAATATGAGGGATCTTTAGGGGAACCCGGTGCTTCTGTCCTGCTTCCAGCTTCAGTGGGGTAGCCTCAGTGATTATACTGTCCAGATGGTACAACACAACTGGGCTGGGGTCACATCCATTAGAGCACTGCCTCAGGGAGCTTGTGTATGACTTACCCCAACTGCAGCAGGCAAGCAGCAAAGCCTAGGAGCCCAGGAGCAGGGGGAGGGATGGAAGCTGAGGCAAGGGCCATCTCTAACCCTGCTGGGTACAGCATAAGTCTACACGTCATAGCCCTAGGTTTGGATTATTTGTTTCAATACAGCTAGGAATTTTCCAGAGCCCTCTTACTTAAAAAAAAATATTTTTGCGGGAGAGATAATTAGGCTTATTTATTTATTCGTTCATTTATTATTTATTTTTTCTTTTTTATTTAATGGAGGTACTGGGTATTGAACCCGTGACCTCGTGCATGCTAAGCCTGCGCTCTACCACTGCGCTCTACCCTCCTCCCTCACCTTACTTCTTTAAACCTGCTAATTAAGTGTTCTAGCATCTTCTCTGAATTTTTAATTTCCCTTCCAGAGTACTATTTTGTTGATAGCTTGTTCTCTCAAGTGGTATTGCATTTAGTAATATTTTTTTGCTGTTGTGATTTTTTTTGTTGTCGTTATTTCAAATCTTACTACTCAAATTTGTCTCCCTTTCCAGGTTAGGGGACGGTGAGTAAATGTTCCAAAGCTACTGTTTTGTGTATTATGGGCAACCAAGAAAGGAGCATGTGCTTGGAGGCGGAACCCCAGAGTTCACGGGTGTAGAGAGGCGTTCAGGAACCTAGCTCCCCAATCCTGCTTTCAGCACAGGAGGGCCACTTGCAAATGATTTCTTTTGAAAACCAATGCTTCAAAACCGAGACTGAAGTTAGGGTTAAAATACTAATGAATTTTAGCGACGGAGCCAATAGAGCGTGAAAGCCTCGGAAGGGCCTCTGAAGCGCCAGATTGAGGCCGATTTAAAAGGCGGACTTGACGAGACTTAGACCCCGCGGCGGTGAGGAGTGAGGGGAAGCCCCCCTCCCGGGAGGACCCCACCTCCACCCCCTACCCCTACCCGGCTTCCCACCCGGCTCCCCGCACTCACGGAGCACATTTGGGCTCCGAGTACCTGGTGCAGACATTTGTGCTCAGGTCACGTCGGATGGTCTGGCTCCACGCCAGGCCCCTCCCACCGCCCCGCCCCCGCCTTGCTCCAATTCCAAACCAGAGCCAATCAGCGCCCAGTGACTCTGGGCAGGGAAACCAATCGATTGGTCCTGCCTTGCATTCAAGACTGCAAGTAGAGCGTCGTGCCCTCGATCGGTGGCAGGTTCTGGGCCCGAGGCAGGGACCGTGCTAAGTTCGAGGACCTTGCTCGGTGGTTGCCTCTTGGGCGGCTGGGAGGTCGAGGTTCCTTCGCGTGGGAGGAAATTGTCCTCGAACAGTTTATGCCCGAAAAGAGCACTATCCCAGGCCCTGCCCCTACCTCGCGGTGTGACTTGGGAGTGGGTCGTGCATTCTCTCTGTGGCTGTTACTCCACCTATAAAATGAATGAGTGGGATAAAAACGGTCTCTACAGTCTCTCGTTTATCCTGACCTTGCAAACCCAGGATCGGCGGCGGTGTGTGTGCGGTGATGTCAGTGGTCTCACCCGGGGACCATCTGAAGCTTTTTCAGCAATAACACTCACTACAGCCAGGTTTTCCCCAGTTCAGTTTTCTGAGGGTGGAAAGTGATTTTCCCAATTCGTTCATGTCTTAAAAAAAAAAAACAACTCTGACGTTGGCCCTCACCTACATTGCTATGTGATTTGAGACAAATTACAGCCCTGTCTCTGGGCCTGTAGCCCTATCTGTAAAATAAATTCAGAAGGCCCGAGGTCCTAAGGTCCTCCCAGCCACATCATTTTCATAACATTGCCAATACATCCTACAACTGAATAAACCCAGATCCTGGCAAGCTGCCAGGTCAGAGGGCAGTCATTTGATGGAGACACTTCCCGGGCTATTCTGAGCCATTGGCCAGTAGGAGCTCACCTTTCCTCAGTCTTTGCCACCCACGCTGAGTGAAGTAAGACAAATCTCCTTCACTGACAAATATTTGTTCAACTCCTACTGTGTATTACTATGTAATACTGCTGTGGAGGAGACAGCTTGGCTCCTGACCTGAAGAAGCTCAGGGCCTCGGGGTTGAGAGAGACTGACCAGGGTAGAGAAGAGAGATCTGCAGAGTGACATCTGCTACAAATGCCTGGAGCCTGGGCGGAGAGCCTCGCATTTGCTGCCCGGTTTAAAGTGTTGGAACTAGGACATTTCAGGCCAAAGGGGTTGTACAAACCTCACTGGGGTGTTCAGGGTGGGTGGAATCAGAAATTCGAGGAGGCTGAAATAGCAAGGAGGTGAAACCCTGGGGCTGCCTGTTAAATGGACGCAGGCAGAGATGAGTTGGACAGCGGGGTGTGACAGGTGCCTTGAATGCGAGTGCAGGAAGTGGGGCATTGTGTCTAGATAGAATCATGCTTAGTGGGAGCCCTGGGTTTCATTCTAGCCCTGGGATGAGGAGGGGGGACCTGTCAGGGTTCCTGAGCCACCTGCGCTCGCGCTCCCAGAGCCGTAAGTTGCAGCTCACACGAAGTGACTCCGCCTCCACTTTTGTCCGCTCTGACCCGGGTCTGCACTCTGACAAGGATGTCCCATGACCCACCCCTGGAGGCGCTGAGGACGAGGCGGCTGCAGGAAGGCCCTGGCTGGGAGAAGACTCTGCTCCCTGGAGGTGTAATCTGAACCCTACAAAGGGCCATTTACACGGTTCCTAGAAGTCCGTAACTTCTTTCTAGGTCACCAGGTTAGCGCAGCCCATCGCTGTGCCTCTTTCCCCTGAAACAGCACTTCCACACCTCTATTTCCCTTCAAGAGGTGCCCTTATCTTTCCTTTTAATCTGAGGCGGGAGGTTGAGGTTGCATGCCTGGGCCTGCGAGTGCCCAAGGATCTGTCGCTTTGAGCACCGGAGTTTCAAGCGCTAAAATTCCGGACGGGAAGGAGGCCAAAGGGGCATAACCAGAAGTTGGCCTTTAGCCGCGGGCTCAACGATCCTGGAACACGATCCTCCCCAGGCTAGCTCGGCTCCGGTTCCCTCCTTCTTTCTCTACCCCTCTTCTCAGACCTCAAACTCTGCCCCGACCCTCTGAGCACAAGCCCCACACAGCCTCTGGGGCTTGAGGCCCGGGCCCAGGGGCTCGGCCCCGCCCGGACCTTCCCTCTGCCTGGCTTCCTACACTAAAACTCGCAGTAGGGGAGTGGGGCTCTCACTGCCCCTAAGGGCTTAAATTTGCACCTCGAGGTGCTGTCCATGCTGTGGTGCTGAAGCTCCCCACGCCCTCCACCGCTACGAGAAGCCGCGTCCCCTGCTGCAGTCTCTGCTCAGGATCCGACCTGAATTCCAGGCCGTGTATACACTGGTCCAGTAACCAGCATGGACCATTGTCTACCTCAACAGTTTTGCTGGTTTGAACTAGAGGCACGCAGGAACTCCCAATTTGCCTGAGGAGGCTCAGAGAATGTCCATGACCTGATCAGATCCAGGGACTACGGGAGGGATGGGCAAAACTCGAATCCCATGCTCTGTCCCGGCGCTGGTAGGAACTCACACACTATGGACATAGGCCTTGCGCACTCCAGACCTGTCCTGATAATTGTGTGGGCAGACGGGGAAGGTTTTCCTCTGTTTCCAGGGACTCAACTTCCTTACAGGTATCCAAGCTGCACAGACCCTACTATCTGCGAGGCAGGAAAAAAAAATCCCCCTCCCATGCACCTTTCACACAGTGAATATAACCTCCTCTAACTCTGGGTGACCCCCAGCTCATGTCGGCGTCCCCATCCGTGCCTCCCAAAGTCTGGGCAAGGAGGAAGGTGCCAGCTGTTCCCAATGTAGAGTGCTATAACTTCCGGTCCAGATCTTTGCCCTTGAGGGTGTAGATGAAGAGGTTGCCCAAAGAGTAGTGCGTGATCGCAATAGTGGTAATGCTGGAAAGCATGAAGAAGATACAGCTCCTTGGTGATGGGACTAGTTCAGAAATAAAGGACTCAGAAGGCACAACGAACAGCCAGGATGCCGCGCTTGTGCGCTCAGCCCAGGCCTGGGAGGGCCCTGCTGCACCTCGGCTTCCACGGTGTCCCTGCAAGGTCTTCCAGCGCGGCAGCGCAGAGTCTTCTTGCACCTTCTGATCATCAGCCCGGGGCGCAGTGCGAAACCAGAGAGTGCAGGCGGAAGTCTGCAGAGCAGGGTAGCAGGTGCAGTCCAGCACGTTCCAGGCGAGCGGAGCCGGTGGCAAGCGCCCAGCACTGCCAGCAAGGCTCCCGGCGGAGGCTGACCGAGGTGGCGGGCGCTCGGGCTGAAAGTGGCACGCGCCGCGCAGCCAGCTGTCAGGCAGCGCTGCACGGAGCCGGCGGCGCTGTGGAGGTCTAGGCGCAGACCCGCACCTCCAACTGCCGGCTGCGGGAGAGGCCTTTGAGGACACCGGCGGCGGCAGCGCGGAGCTGTGGATTTCGAGCAAGCGAGTGTGGAATGTTTCCTGTGAGAAAAGAGAATCCAAAGCTA